GGGCTTGTGCTATGTGATAGAGATATATGACATTCTAACTTTGACAGCATGTGAGAAGGTAAAATTGGTTCTGTTGCTTGAACTCAGGGCCTGGGCACTGTCCTTTATCTTTTTCATTCAAGGCTGGTACTCTACCACTTAGAACACACTTCCACTTCTAGTGTTTTGCTGGTTATTTAGAGCCAACCTGGGGAAAGAGTCTCACAGACTTTCCTACCCTAGCTGGCTTTGAACTTTAATCCTCAGATCTCAGCTTCTTGAGTAGCTAGGATAACAAGTAGGAGCCACTGGTACAGGGCAACCTTGTACTTTTCAATTCAGAAGAGTAAAGCATCATTCTACATCTTAGTTTGTCATCTATTTTATAAATGTTGAAATTGTGCAAATACTAATTCTGCCCATGGGAATTAATTTCCAACCAGATTTAGATGGCCTAATTTGGGTTCCGAAGTGTTTTCAACGCTCGGAATTACTGCAGCGTGACTTTATCTGGGATCATTTTATTCTCTTACACCTATTCCATTGCAATTGAAGGAGTTATTGCCCCTGACTTCTGAGGTAGAAAGAATAGGAGAAAATGTAAGAAAGCTGCCCTCTGATCTCCACGTGCATCAATTACTGGTAATAAATCCCCTACAGTTGGAACTGAGACAGAATCTCCAAAGCACATGGACTTTTCCTATTAGAAAATATAAACCCAATAGTGACTATTTGTTGTTTAGATTTATTTTGTGAGTAATGTAAGTGAAAAAACAACTTAACATTGAAGGATGGACCATTTTTAATCTCAGCACTTTCGCTACTGCCAACACCAGATAGAGTATCTTATTGCAATAATTCAAGGATTTCTCTATTAGTTTCTCTAAGCCCTTAAAGCAAATGAAGCTCTTATGATATAAAACACCTTCTTTTTCAATTTTTTTTGCCCTCAGCTCTCAAGCCTAAATGCATTTCAGGGTAGAATTTTAAATGAACTAGATAAATGAAATTCTATCTAACTGTATTAATTTTTGACACTCTTTTTATGATTCTTTTAAAAAGAACATAGACACGCATTGCAGCTCTGACCGTGGTGTAGGTATGATGAATAGCATGCTACAAATAATATTTTTTCTCCAAACTTTTGAAAGAACAATTTAGATTTTTAATCTCTAAGGTAGATTTACAAACACCCTCTGTCGATAACTGACCCAGAAGCTTAGAAATGAGGTTTCTTAAACAAAGAAAAGCACGAGTTTATTAAAGGAAGCATTTTCCTACCTGTTTCTCCCCCTCCTTACTGTATAACCTTTCATTCCCATCACAAATACCTCTCACCTAGTTTTATCTCTGACCTTGAAGGATGATACAGCTTTATTGAGGCTTCTTTTTAGATCACAGATGACCTTCAGCTGATATTATTGAGCTCTGACCTGCCTCAGTGCTCGGCTCACACAAAATACATATGCTGAACAGCGCTGGTGTGTGCAGTAGGGGTAAGTGAATTATTTACAAAAATTTGAGTTGACACCTTTTATCAAATGTGGAAAGATGAAGACAAAACAGCTGCTATTGCTGTCGTAAGCAATCTGCTGGTGATTGAATAAAAGTGTCAAGAAAATGGCTGCTTGATGGCCTTTTGTTCTCCCTCATCCAGCTTGATGTTAGTTTGAGCTGTCAGTTAGGAATCACGGGTGTGTGATTTATCAATAGACTGAGTGACCTTCTCTTTTCACTGGGGAGAGAGCTAAGAAGACAGCGACCTCTACTGGGAACATATTTCCAGCATTTCCGCACAAACTGTGGCCTGCCTAGGGAACTCACCCTGATGATAATAACGCATTGCTAAATTTTGCTCTGCCTTTGGTGCCTGTGAGCACTGATCAAAAAGCCAGAGAAAAGAAACTAGAAGCATATTTCTATACTTCCTAAGTGAGCGAAATTAGAAAAATTAGTATTTGAAATCAAGCGCTTCCTCCTTGCTAATTAACGTGTAGGATGAGGAAACACACTACCTTGGATAACAAACTGTTTCTTTAAACCATGTTTGGATTATATTGAAATGAGTAACCCATCTGCCTTGGTTTAAATTATTTTATGGTCTCTATAGAAAGATGGATTTAGACTTAGTTTTCTGCTATACAGTTGTGGCCCATTCAGGAAAAAATGTTATTATCAATCAGGGCTCTGTGGCTCCTTGAGAAATATGACACCGTAGTGGCAGGACCGTCCAATAAACATTCCTAGTGCTGTCCATCCCAGGGAATTTCATTATACGTGTTTGTTTTCCTAAGGAAGGCTTTTTTTTTTTGTTTAATAGCCATAGTTTTTTGGTCCAAAGCACAAATAAGGTAAAAAGTAAAGTCTGAGAAAAATGATATTCCAGCTATCATTGAAAAAGATATATAAAATATATTTAAAATCATTAAGATAAGCTTTGAGCATTCAGATATCATTTTCTTTAATGTAAGGAAATTTTTGTTCTTTCATAAACTGTTATATATGCCCTATTTCAAAGACATTTATTCCCCCTCCCAGGCATTTCATAGTTTTTATGTTAACTTTTTGTCTTGAGTTTTTTTAATCAAATGTAAAAAAATCACTGGGTAGGTATTTTGTTGGCTATATCACAAGTTTAAATACTTTAAGACACATTAGTAGGACTATGCATTTCTTTGGACTCTCAGAGATTATGTTCTTTCCACTCTAAGCCAGGGTTGACAGAAGGGAATTTAGAAAGAAAAAAAAAACTGTGCTTCTCTAATTCACAAAACTTCTCCCATACTAAATGTCTTTTCCTCTCCTGTCTTTACTTAGATGATTAGATAGCCTCTCTCTCTCTGTCTCTCTCTCTCTTTCTCTCTCTCTCACACACACACATACACACACACACACACACACACACACACACACACACACACACAAGAAGTGGGGTTCAGTCCTCACTTCCTTGTCTGAGCTTTGGCTTTCTCTTCATTCCAATATACCTATACCCCATGACTGGTTCATAAAAGCTCTGCTGCGAAGTTGAATAATATGTAAATTTTATGTTGTAATGAATTAGGTCCTAAGATCTTTAAAGGTCAGACACCTGGTATAATACATCACATTTTTAATATCAACTACAAAATAACTGTAATAAATTTTCCCAACACCACATCCTCACACACTGTTACCCACAAGGAAGCAGCAAAGGAAATGTGTCATTTGTCAAAACATGCAGAAAAACTGGCATGTGTACAAGTCACTTTAAAAGTAAGGCTCGGATTAGAAATAGCTTTCCAAATGGTATTTGGTGGTTAAACAAAGAAAAACACTCAAGTGCTTCACTGAAACCATCTCTTGATATGTTAAAAGAGGATGGGATAGAAACAACTAAATATGATACAAGGGCTTTAATTAGTTGCGGGAAAATATAATTCATGGCAAGGAGCTCTGTTTGATTTTCTTTCGGTGGAAAATTCAACAGGCATGGAAATTCAACTCAGCCTAGATGAGTGAGATTCTATGAAAATTTGTACAAGTGTTATAGAAATTTGATACTTGATATTAAAATAAAGATGTATCTTTCATAATGCTAGTGGCAAGCATCAATTACAAGTACATTAGAGCATGCCTATTAACCAAAAAAGGAAAGAAACTTACCTACAAATCAAACAGGCTCTGGGGATATTTTTTTTAAGTAACATAGAATCAATGAGAGTTCTCATTATTAACAATTACGGTGTAGCCCTATTCTCTAACAGTATGTTTTGTTAATTTAAGACACAAGTAAAATGAACATATAAGCAAAACTGTCCATTTTTACATTTTTCTACTGTGGATGCATAAGTCTCGGTTGTTATTTTTCATGTTGCTGAAAGTTTGCTCTTAAGGCAGATTATCAATAGTTATTTTACATGCAACTTTTATTTGATAATGACATTGCTGGTAAGGATTGAAAGTGCATGTGAGAGATGATCGAACATATCCAGTAGTTTAAGTGAGATTTGTGTTTTAAATTTGAATATGCTTAGGGAAAGACTGGGATCAGTTAACTCCATTCTCATTTCTCAGAGGATTACACAGGCACATGGCAGCAGTCACCAAGTGAAGTGGGGATTGTGCACCTCATTAGCAGGCGCCCTGTGAGTCATAAAATCAAAGCCAGCTGAGTGGCAGTACTTGAAAGTTCTGGAAAGTTACCAAATTCCCACCCTCTTTAATACAGATACATTAAGTTAACTCCCAAATATTCATACCCTTTATAGCCAGACCTACAATGGACTTTCTAAGCCGAGAACAATGTGGTAGCATAAAAATCTCCCTCCAACAAACAGGTGAACATGAACATTCTTGTATCCAACAAACCCAATGTGGAGTTTATTAGACAAATGGAAGAGATCAAGAAGGATTTTTTTAGCATTTTAATAACTTATTCAAAATGGCCAAGAGACAAAAAGGAATTTAAAGAATAAAAATGTATAGTAATCAGAGGGAACATACTTATTAAATTGTCCAAAACAAAAGTTGTAGACTATGACTAAAACTGGCATGAAGTTGAAGTCAGAAGAATGAGCTCGTATTTCACCAGTGGACATTTAACTCTCCTTGGCAGAATGACTCATTAATTCTTTCATTTAACAAAGGTTTATTGAGTGCTTGATTTGTACCTCCCTCTGGGCAAAAAAAGCTCAACAGACAATGATCCCACCCCCCTCTCCCACCCCCACCATGAGCTACATTGCTTTGTCCTTTCTTTTCCCTGCCAGGGCTGTATAGCAAGACTCTATCTCTAAATAAGTAAATAATATATAATTTTAATATTATTTATAATAGAGATATTTAGTGCATGGTCAAGGTTGTAATTTGTATTTATAGCATTTTGACATATATACAGATAGATGATAGGTGTGCAGAGAAATGTATACATCTTATATATACACATATCTAATATATATATACACAAATCTAATATATATATATATAATACATATATATACATATACATACAAAAATAGAATCTGGGTGCCAGTAGCTAGTATCTGTAATCCTAGCTACTCAGGAGGCTGAGGTCTGAAGATCATGATTCAAAAACAGTCTGGGCGGGAAAGTTCAAGATATTCTTATCTCTAATTAACCACCAAAAAACCAGAAGTGGAGCTGTAGCTCAAAGTGATAGAGTGCTACTCTTTCAGCAAATGAGCTCAGGGACAGCACACAAGCCCTGAGTTCAAACCCCAGCACTGACCAAAAGAATTGAAGGAACTAAAATTGATTGTTCCGAAAACAACACAGTAACTAGCTAGGCATGGAAAGATAGACTATAAGGGCTACTGTACTGAACTGTTTTAATTTTATTTGAGCAAAGATACGCTTGCTTTTAAAAAAAAATGGGATGAATTAAGCTGTGCACAGGTGGTTCATGCCTGTAATCCTAGCTACTCAGGAGGCTGAGATCTAAGGATTGCGGTTCAAAGCCAGCCTGAGCAGGAAAGGCCATGAAACTCTTATCTCCAATAAACTACCAAAAAACCAGAAGTGGCGCTGTGGCTAAAGTGGTAGAGTGCTAGCCTTGAGCTGAAGAGCTGAGTGCTCAGGCCCAGAGTTCAAGCCCTATGACTGACAAAAAAAAAAAAAAAATTGTATGAATTATTTTTTAAAGAGACTTCTGTAATGATATAGAGAACAAATTGGATCTTTTTTTTTAAAGAAATAGGAAGATCAGAAAGATGTTTGTGAAATTGTTTAATAGGGATAAAGGTGGACCCATTGCAACAATGAGATGTACAAGACGTTATGTCGAAACACGAACTTTACAACTTTGGCTGGGGTGGGGGTGCTTGGGAGATGGGAGGGCAGGGATAGTAAAGGGAAACAAAGGAGGGGGCAACAATGCTTGATAAGAAATGCATTCATTACCTTGCTCATGTAATTGTAACCCCTCTGTACTGTATTTTCACAATTAAAAAAACCTTATTAATCAAAATAAAATAAAATAAAGAAAGATGTTTGTGAGCTAGGATTGGCAGCTAAGCAATGTAAACAAATAAAAAGTTAAAAAGAGAGCACAACCAAGTACCTCAAGAATGCAATCAAAGCCGGGCGCTGGTGGCTCACGCCTGTTATCCTAGCTACTCAGGAGGCTGAGATCTGAGGATCGCGGTTCAAAGCCAGCCCGGGCAGGAGAGACCGTGAGACTCCTATCTCCAATAAACCACCAGAAAACCAGAAGTTGCGCTGTAGCTCAAGAGGTAGAGCGCTCGCCTTGAGCTGAAGAGCTGAAGGACAGCGCCCAGGCCCAGAGTTCAAGCCCCACAGCCGACCAAAAAAAAAACAACAAAGAATGCAATCAAGTACCTTAAACTTAATAGACAATTTCTTACCAAAATGTTTGTAAATGGTCCACCAAGAAAGTTCAGGCAATCTTCTTTTCCAGGTCTTTAGGGATGAAATTGAGCCATCTTTGTTTGATAATTGAAAGCTTGCAATTATAGCTCTGCATGACTTGATTCCAAAAGAAAACCAAAAGGCAGACACCAAAAGGTATATAGAAATAATGGATAGTATTTATAAGGTTTTAATCATATCCACATTTTATTGTTATATCTTCCTGTATAGTCTTTATTTGCTTACAGCATTTTATACATTCACCTTTAAGTAAACTATCGTTCTCTGCCCTTGGTATTTTCCAATCATATATCTATTATGCCCCATCACTTACTTATGACAATGACTTCGCTGCAGAGTGACTTCATTACAGTAAAGAAATAGTATGAGTTTACAACTGAAAAAAATCATAATTAAAAGCATAAATTATGGATGCTGTCGAGACACCAGACATTAACATTGAAACTTGAGAGCATAATGCGGAAATAGGTTAAGTTTATGTTACCTGAAATCATTGTGAACTTTGAGTGTTTTCTCTACAAATAACCTACCCAATAGTTATTTCATCTTTTTAAACCAGGAAAAGATGAATTGCCTTGTAGTACCTTTTTTTTTTTAGGTCTTGTATTCTCCTGCTACATACTACACAGATATTAAAAAGTAAGATATATTGGCATAAACTAGATGTCATTAAAAAGAGGTTATAAATATATGCATTAGCAGAAATCTTTAATCTTGTACAGATTCTAAGAATATTTATCCAACCTCTAAAAACGTGATGGTCCAACTACTATCTGCTAAGTAAAATTAGAACCATATCAGTTCTTTAATTGGATATCATTTTGTCCTGGAAACACTTCTCAGATAGGTTTCTTCCTAGAATGACAAGTTCCACAAACAGAGACCCATAGTAGAAGGCTGTGTGCTAATAAAGGTTGCTTAGCCATTATATGTGCATGGCAGAGGAACCCATTATAAATAAAACAAACTGGAATAGATAAGCTGTAAGACTACTTTCCACTTAGAGATTTTCAAATCTAAAGAACACACACACACACACACACACACACACACACACACACGCACGCACACGCACACACACACACACAGAACATTGAATTCCAAAACCTCAAGTTTTGAGGGCTGGGAAGGTGGCTCAGTGGTAGAGGGCTTGCCTTGCATGCTCGAGGCCCTGGGTTCGATTCCTCAGCACCACATAAGCAAAAAGAAAAAAGCTGGAAGTCGCGCTGTGGCTCAAGTTGTAGAGTGCTAGCCTTGAGCTGAAGAGCTGAGGGACAGCGCCCAGGCCCAGACAGAGTTCAGGCCCCATGACCGGACCAAAAAAAAAAAAAAAAAGATTTACCAAAACCTCAAGTTTTGAGTTTTACTCAGAAAAACTTTAATTTTTCTCTTACATGCATACCTATATGCCAATATCTACATATTTATAATTGCATTAATGTGAACTGTTTATCTCTATGATTATAGACATGTGTATGTATGGTTATAGAGTTATATGATTTCTGGATTTTTGAGTATGTTTGTATATCTGTATCAATATGAGAACTGGCATAATATATATGTAAATATAGTAGGTTATATATATATATATATATATATAAAATAAAACTTTGCATACTGAGACACCAGTGCTCCAGAGACTTTCAATATACACGATTCTATAAAATAACATGAAAAAAATGTGTCTACAAGTATGAATTCCTAAACATATTAAAGTCTTCTTGCCTTTCTAGACACTAAGTCTAAAACAGAATAACTGTTCTGGTATTTTCTAAGAGGAAGAAACCGTGGGTTATAGAAGATGTATTTTCAGAAATATTTTCTGTTCCTTTTATTTGGGTAAACTCTACTCTATAGTTCATAATTAATAGAGATCTTTACAAACCAGAAACTAAGAGGATTAGTGCTACCAAACACAGAACAATACGTTCCTCATGTTGAATAATAGATTATTTATTCCTATACTCTACTAGTTCATCACTGCCAAATCTGCATATGTGATAAGTAAGTGAAGAGTGATATGTCATGTTTGCCAAAACGTGAGGTCTAATTTCTGTTAAAATATTTTTCAATATTTGTAATGAATTTTAATAAAGGTTTATCAGGCACTTGTTATGGTGCAGAACTTTTATTAAATTCTGTGATCCATAAAACGTTTTTTTTTGAATGACACATAGTTTAGGTTTTCATTTAGAGGCTATAAAAGTGTTCACAAAAGTTATGTTGAAAAAAAAGTGATTGAAAGTGCTAAAACACTGTACAGAATATAAAATCCTTTCATAGACTTTTTATGACACATGAAACATGAGTCTTAAAGGTTTAATGTTACTGACTTTTATACAAGGCTTTTTAATTCTTGATTCCAGTTATGGTTCTGCAAATGAACTGTGACATTAAAAGGAATCAGGCTGGAACTGCCTGGGCTCAGTTTCTAGATGACTCTGACTGGCCATCAGAGCTTTGCTGGGACCCACCCCTGCCCACAGCTAATTAGCACTCACTTGGTTTGGCAAAGCCAAAGCAGAAGCCTGCCTGGCTCATTCCCTCCTACCTGAATTCAGTACTAATGTTGAGGAGGACAATAGATTATTAGCAGATATGAAGTGTGGAGGATTATTATGCCTTCCCCCTTGTTTCTTTAATGCTATACACCAGTTTCTGCTGTAATTGCAATGTGGGTCTGGGTGTCCAATACTGTTGTCCATTCCATCTAAATAATGAATAGGAATTCTCCTTGTCCTTGCCTTTGGGAAATGCAGCTAGTGAGCTCACCTGACTGCAGTACAAAAGGCATATACACTATTTTTTTTTGTTAATGTATTGGATTGAACCAAACAAGTCTCTACTTTTGTTGGTTAAAACACTTGAAACCTTAGTATCCTGAGATGGTATAAAAATTATTTTTAAAGCCCCCAAAATGATTTGCATTAAGAAGAAAATAAAGTGACATGTGATGAATTGAGTCACCATGAGATGCCAATTTGATTAACTGAGCTCGGATTTCAGAATATATCTCAGCATAAATGATGCTCAATATTGCATATCTTTCCTCAGCAGCACTGGAGTTTGAACTCCAAACCTCATACTTGCTAGTTAGGTGTTCTGCCACTTGAGTCCCAGTCCCAGTCCTTTTTGCTTTGTTTTTCACAGGATCTTGTGTTCTTCCTTGGACTGGCCTCAGACTTTTACCCTCCTACTCTACATTCCACATAGCTATGATTATAGATGAGTGCCATGATGCCCAACCCTATCATTTGCTACCTATTATTTGCTATGTATAGACACTATTTTTCCATAAAGAAATCACACAAGCTTAGCTTCCGGGATCTATTGATCCTGTTCTGTGGAAATCTCTTAGGAAAGTAAGTACTTACAGAAGAAACCAAGCTCTTATTATAAAAAAAGAATGAAAAAGGTATAATGCTGAATAAGTATATGTCATGCAAATTCTGGACAGCAACATTCGTTTATGCAGTTTACGAAGACAGTGTTATAATTACAACAGTGTGTGTGGACAGCATTAAAGACAGGAAGACTAAGGAATCCTTCATACTTCCCATGCACTGATAGTAATCCATGTACCCTCCCAACATTAATCTCCAAAGGTATACTCCAAGAGGATGAAATAAAGTATCTGTGCCATGAATGGTATCTTAGTGCATCTGTTGGTTTTAATAAATATTGCTTTATTATTTCAGAATCATTTTAATATGAAAAAGGCTAGACTTTTCATTTCTCAAAATGTCATAA